TTTTGAATCATGAGATGGGGGACATCCTTTTAAATCATTGCCAAATCAGTGTGAAGGTTTAGCTGATAATTTACTGCAGCAGGTTTGAATACGTTTTAGAGCTGTTTCATTACAATTAATTACTGCATTGTCTGTTGTTGATTGCATCAGAAGGTGAAACATGATTCAAAAGATTTAAATCACCATCTACAAACAACAGCAGAGGAAAAAGAAACATCAGACAAGGAAGGAGGATGAAGGAGATGAGAGGAGATGTGGAGAGAAGGTTTCCAGCAGAGAGCACATCCTTCATACTGCTGCTGCTGCTTTGACACATGTCCGATCTGCCTCTCCTGTCGGTCAATCATGTAAAAAGACAAGCAAGCGGTTTATAGGAACTCTTGCAGAGAGCAGTGGATTTCGATATGGAATTGGGAAATTTTTGAGTGTATCTTGAGCTTGGCCAGGGATCTTTCCTGTGTTACTCTCCACCTGCCTCTCATAATTTCTTGTCCTGTTTCTTTACCAAAGATATGTGTGTATCCAAGCAGTTTTGTTCATTATCACAGGACAAATATGTGTTTTTTGAGGTAAGATGGAGAGTGTGAAATGTGAAGTGTTGCTACTCTTTAACCATAGCTACTTGTTAATTGTTGGCATACTTTACTGCTGCTGTGTTGGTGCTCTTATTTTGTTTGAGTCTTTCCAAGTTCCAGTAATTTGGACAAATAGCTTCAGGTATATTTCAAGTCAGTTCTGGGTCTCTAAAGGCAGCTTTCCACTGCAAGAACTTAAGGAAGGTGCAAGAATTGTCCCCTAATCAGGATTTTCAGCCCTTCTGTTCTCATTGCTGCATAGGATCTGACACTTTGACTTCAACATTAACCCCAAGTACATGAAAGCAATGCTAAGTAGGAGTTACTGAATGTAACTCTAGTTCTATGAGCACGTGGGAAATAGGTGGTGATTTTAGATTGAAGATGGAAAAGTTAGAGAGGACAGGATGTGACATGACGAGGAAAGAAAAGTGGAACTTGTTGTTTTCTCCAAGTTTAACCAATCAGCATTTGCCATCTCTGAGTTTAACCAATTAGTGTTGAAGTATCTACCCTGAAGAACGTACTTTTTCTCCCCTTTAAAATGGACCTATTAAAGGTTCCACATGGGGAGTTCTTGTAGTTGGCACACGCAGAAAGGTTAGGGCCGCTCTACAACAGCCCACAAGTTCCTGCAGTGGAAAACTGCCTCGTGAGTCAATATCGGACTGAAACTCTCTTTTAGAAAATAGATTCTCTCATGTCAGACTCTTGCTGGTTTTTCACAGTTCTGCTTTGGGTCAGGCCCCAAATTTGTACTTGTAAAGATCCCTACTTGGGATTAAATGTCTATAGTCTCTGTCTGAAAAGTTTTATGTTACTGAGACATGCGCACAGACTACTTAGTTCTTGTGTGATACTGACTTGGCACAACTTTCCAAACAAACATTAGAGAAATAACATCTCAGATTTAATCTCTCTTATCCTTTAATACAAACACCTTCAGATGAGAGGTGGCCAAAAGAGTCAGTTTACTGGACTCTCACTGATTGGTTTGATCCTATCAGGCTAAAGCTCTGTGCAAAAGATATCGAGCATTTTGAGATTTGGCCTGATTTTCCTTTAAATCTCTGCAGCATCTACTTTTGCCAAATACTGGACTGTCTGTATTGATTCAGCAGGAGTGCTCCTCTGATAAACTCAGGCTACAGTACACAAAATGAAACCTCTGTGGCTTTCCTTGTGAAACAAAATGAATACTTTAATACTGCATTGTGCCTGAAGGCCATACACAGAGCTGGGTTTTAACAAACGAGACCACTTTTGGCTGTCATCCGTGAGCCGCTGTTCTGGCACGAGGGAAGAGTTTTTGTTTATGGGATGAATAAAAGAAACAAACAGCGTTCCTCGAGGTCCAACTAATCCCAGCTTTACATAAATTAAAAAGTGGGGAAATGTGTGGACAAGTGAAAAGAGTGCAAACATGCTCTGACTACCAAGTCAACAAATTGTGAGGAGACAAAAAGGGGGCTGCCTGCCGAAGTCACTGAAGGACCAGTTCAACAGTTCTGTGGGATGACGTAAAAAACAAAGTTTGTACATACAGATACAGATTTTTGTCTAAAAATAGTCTTTCATTAAATATGAACAGAGTAAGAAAGGGCGATCCTTTTCCAAACAAAGAGACAGTAACAAAGATCCTCCAAAAATTAGGCCCAAGTGTTGATCTTTCATTATGAGAAGAGTCACTTTGCACTCCATGAAGGACAAGAGCTCATCAGTCCCGAGTCTCTTCAGTCCCACATCCTGCCGTCTTCGTCCTGTCAGCGTGACTGACAGCTACACTCCCAGGCCTGACAAATTGAAAGCTTGCCCCTGAACTCACCTAAAGGAGATATTATATATGTACATTTTTAAACCACAGCAACTTGTTTAGCTTTTGGTTTGATTTCCTGTTAGTTCCTGACATCCCCATGACATAACATGACAGAGATCAGCGTGGACGCAGACTTGCATTTCCGATTTCAATTGGGAAAAAGGGTAAAGCCTTTAAAATAAGCTCCTGAATACTAATTCTGCAGTATGTGAGTGAGTGTGTTTTATACATAGATAAGACATTTGTGTGTGTAATCAAGAAAAAAGGCAAAAGAAAAGGAAGGAAACTGATTTTAAGGAACAGGAGGATATGCATGAGGATGCATATAGATGAGATTCAAACCATAGTCTCTTGAGACTTGTATTTGAGGTGTAATAAGGTGATAATATTCTTAAGGTGTCTTCAGACTGAATGTGAAGCAAATTTTTTTATCTCATTCTAATCTTATTTTTCACTTTAAATCCACCTAAAATAAATTATGTATTCATTGGCAGCAAAATGACAACAAGTGAGCCCCTGACATTCACCCAGGCTAGCAGCAGAACAGCACTCAGACTGAAGCTGATACCAGTTTTATCTCCTATTTGCACTTAGACTCCTGCTGGGTTTGTACATTTGTGTTGTCCTATAGATTTGAGGTAAGCACAGATTTTTTGGTTCTAGTTGAAAATTGTAGCCCTGGATCCAGGATCATAGCAACACAATGGCAATAATTAAAAATGTTAAAAATATAACCTCAGTGACTCAACAACCTCAACTTTGTGAATGACTTATCAGAAAATAGATACATTGTAAATTGTTATTTACACTTCAACATTAAGATGTGGGCTGCACGGTGGCTCGGTGGTTAGCACCATCGCCTCGCCGGTTTGTGACCGGGAGAGGACACCCGGGATCTTACTGTGTGGAGTCTCCATGTTCTCCCTGTGCAGCATGGGTTCTCTCTGGGTTCTCTGGCTTCCTCCCACAGTGTCCAAAAACATGTTGAGGTTAATTGGTGATTCTAAATTGTCTGTAGGTGTGAATGTGAGTGCGCTTGGTTGTCTGTCTCTAAGTGTAGCCCTGTGATAGACTGGTGACCTGTCCAGGGTGTCCCCTGCCTTCGCCCTAAATCAGCTGGGAAAGGCTCCAGCCGCCCCCCCCGCAACCCTAGTGAGGATTAAGTGGTGTATAGATAATGGATGGATGGATGGACATTAAGCTGTTTCCATCTGAACATTTGCTAACAACACTGCGGGCTCTGCAGTGAGTTGACATTTTTAACATTTATCCAAAAAACTAATTTTTTGAATGTTTGATTGATTTAAGGTTTAGTCTGTTCTGTGATGCCTTGCCAAAAAGAATATGTAGCCTGGCGTATTGCTATTCAAGCTGATTTTTTACTTTAGTTTATGATGTCTTTATTTATTTATTGTGCCAATGTTCTTTTAAGTAGGGATTCAGACCGAAAACAGCTTGCAGTAAAAAAGTGCAGTGGGCCGTTTCAGACAGACATTAATCCAGGCTAATTAATACCTTGATCCAGGATGTCCAGTTAGAGGAACATATTGATCCTTTGAAGGTTTACCAAAAGCTAAAACACTGCCACAGTTTGAAATACTCACAAACAGGAGCACCATGGCAGCAAATGTTTTATCTTTCACTGAAATAACTGCAAAAGTAACAGCTAAAATGTGGTGTTTGTGCTACAAAGTAAACACCAGGAATGTGCCATTGTATCTGTGTAAGTTCACAACACGACACCTTTGCTCGTTTCAACTCTTCTGCTGTGGCTCCTGTGTTGGTAACCCCACTGAGTTAATGTACTGACTTCAATCAAACGACAGACAGAGAGGTGGAGTTTTCTCATTGAGGCCTCAAGTTGTCTGAATGTGGGTTAAGTAATTGCAGTTTTCAAAAATCGCTTCATGTTCAAGCTGAATGCACCTTAAGGCATAAGTCCTCAATATCTACTGAGGTGATCTGATATCCATGTAATAACGTGTAAAAGAAAATCAGAGATGTGCTATCTGTTATCTAAAAATAGTGGCCCATCTTCACCTGGTATATTCATGTCAGCCTTGTTTGTGTCATTGTGCACATCTGACAGAGGTTAGGTCACTACACGTTATTCTTACAGAGTAGTTTGAAGTGAATGGAAAAATAGGTCAAGGCTTCTCTTTTTATCTTGACAGTAGGATTCTTCACAAGGGGCAGGTTAAAATGTTACACCGCTATTTCATCTCCCAGACAGTCAGGAGTTCCCTGTCTGTTGAGGACGTTGAGCAGCCTTAACGTCTCCTCATCCGTTCCCCAGCCAAAGATCTCCATCTCCTCCTCCTCCTCGTCCTCCCCCTCATCCTCATCTTCCCTGTCATCACTGTCGTCTGTGTTCGACTCATACTCTGAGGCGATACCCGACTCGCGAAACCTGCCAAATTCCAGGCAGCTCAGGGATTTGAAGTCATGAGACAACAGCTTTGCTGGACCCCCAGACACCTCTTGATCTTTTATCTCTGGCATGTTAGTCTTGAGCGGTGGGGGAGGCGAAGGGAGTCGAGGAGGTGGAGGCCCCGGGGGTCCTGGGAGGAAACGGAAACACTCCAGTTTGAGTAGACACTGGTCCCTACCTAGTGGGCTTCCCAGAGTCCCGTTGGTGGATGAAAAGGCATTGCTGGTCCCATCGCTAGTGCCCAGTGTGGTCAGGTTGAGGGCTGACACATCAGGTTTAGGTGTTGTGGGGTCACAGATGACTGGAGGTACCGTGGAACGGAAAGTGATCTCCAACAAACTGTCCTGGGAGCCCACTGGAGAAAGGAGACAAGAAGTTATAAAATGAAGTTAAGGAAATCAAGTGAGGAAGTGATGACGCGGCAAGAAGGGAGAGATAAGAAAGGACAGATCAAATATTTCATACCACTTTGAAAAGTTCCACTGTGTCGTGATTTAAATTCATCTGCTATCACCCGTGCTGGCAGAAGACTAATGTATATGATACAGATATCTGTGAATTATGGTGAATAGAGGGCTACAAATCCTCAGAAAATAAATCACTTTGTTACCAATAAATCAATGCATTCTCTTATAGGGTAAGCAAAACAGAAACATGTTTCAAAGCATTTCATCATCATCACAGTTGCTCAGTGAAACATGTTGTGCGCTGTTTTTTATGGGCACACAGACCTGGGGCTGAAAAACTGAGAAAAAGATGCATTAAAGAAATACTTTATCTTTTCAGAATCAAATACTAACTCAAAATAAACATGAAAAATTACCTTGAAAAGTCAGTGATTTACTCCCTCTTGTGAGGACAGCAGCTGGAATCAGTTTGAGTTCACAGCAAATACAGTTCTATCAGATAGCGACTTAGAGTTAGCAAATAAATAAATAAATAAGACGCAACAACATCTATCAAATGTCCACAGAAATGTCTCATATGACTCCTCCAATACTATTTACTTTCAGTCTCTTTATAATCGCACCAGTGCAAGGGATTCTGTTTAGGGGCAGTTGTTTGAGTGCTGGTGATGTGTGACATAATTGCATTACTCCTAAGTTGAACAGTTGGGCATTTGCTCTTTTATAAAATTCCAAACTAACAATACAGGCCCCAAGTGGGAACTTAAAGCATCAAAGTCAGTACTCCTTTCATTACTGAGATCTAAATGTTTATTTTTTTAATACTTTGTGTGTCCAGCTTTTTTCTGATGACTGAATCCTCCAATTTTCCAAATTTCATACCAAATTTCAGAGCAAATGTTCTGTCATCTTTTCATCGCCTCTTTGCTGGAAGGGCTGTGCAGCTCTGTCTTCCTCTTTAAAATACCTCAGACGTGTTTTACTGGATTCAAGTCAGCCGACACAGTTGTCTAGGTCATAGTTATCACTTTAGAAACTCTTGTGTGATTTTTGAGTGTTTTGGATGGTTACCATGCAGGAGTATACGTCTGCTGCCAAGTTTCTGCAGACTGGGAGTCATCTTGTCAGACAGTATTTTGACATATCCACAGTCATTATAGTGCATCTATAAATGTCATTTCCCTAACACCTTTTGACGTCACGCAGCCTTATTGCTCCACCCTCCCAGCTCCATGCTTCATTGTCAAGACTTTGCATTCCATGTGGGAGTCATCGCCAAGTTCAACTCAAACATGCTGGACACCTGACATTTGAGCCAAACAAAATTATCCTGACCTAATCTGACCAAAACATTTGCTCCTAACATCAATCAGGATCCTTTTTATGTTCTTTGGCAAAGTTAGATCTTGCGATTTTGTGTCAAAGAGCGAGCAAAGGTTCTTTTCTTGGACACCGTCCACAGAGCCTGACATTATGCACTTTGTCTTTTTCACTGTCTGACCTGTCACAGAAACTCTGATTTCCATTGTTAACCCCTGTGCCAAGTCTGAAGCACTGGCCTCCTGTTTTTCAGAGCAGAATTGTGCAAGTAGCACTCTCTGTGGTGTCATTTTAAGAGGACAACCACTGTGGCTATGATTAGTGGTGCAATAGCGTGTTCTATACCTCCTGATGTTGCATTGGGGTTCTACTTTTCGGCCTGTATTTTAAATCTGGTCTCTCTCGCTAAAGTATTTATTGTAGACTGTTCATTAGAGCAAATATTCTACTATTCAACTCAGAAGTAATGCTATTATTGTGAGGTGATCCAGTTTTGAATCATTTGACATTTAAGTGATATTGTACAGGGTGTAGCTGTGCTCACGACTGTCGTGTGTGTGTCTGTATATATATATATATATATATATATATCCCTGAGAAACAGGATTTTTTTGTTCTTTATTGAACATGAGCTGAATAGAAAAGTAACTTCTGTGAATAGATTGGTAGTTTTAAAAGGCTTTTTTGTGCCAGTGAGTCACAGTGCGCACAATCTCAGAGCTCTGAAACTGACACACTGCAGATGAAGTACAGTTATTACTATAGCTAGTTACATTTGTTTTACAAGTCAAAATGTGCATTACAAAAAAGGTCTGATGCTCTAAAAATGTAAAAAAAAGGTATCATTGCTTATCATTGTGCTTTATTATTTCATCTCCACTAAGATATAAGTGCGTCAATGCAAAGCTTCTCTTGACCTTGTGTGAAATGAGGTGCATATTAAGTCCAACATGTAGAGGTGGCGATGACGAAAGATTTTGCTCCAATGAATTTCAGAAATGTCGGCTGATAAGATAAAATATTGTTTCTTGCAGGGTGACATTTGGAGGGCAGGCTGTGACTGTGCCGAGAAGATTGTCTGTCTGAAAAGTCGAGTAACAGCTTAAAAATATGTGGAGCTGTGGGGGAAAGATGGAGAGGGCAGAGGAGGTCATGGACAAACGAACAGCAACAGGGCATGTGTGGAGACTGAGAAACAGAGCAGTGAAGGTTGATCTGAGCACACAAGCTACTCATACTGGTAGTGAGAGGCTTTAATGTAGGAATTTCCATTAGGTCTGCAGTGCACTCACTCTGCTGGCTTTCTGTATGAAGGCATACAGAGCTGAATGTGTCTGTGCTCTCATGCCTAAAGTGTCTGTGTGTGTCCCTGGCTGTTTTGCCTGTTGTGTGAAAGTATTTTAACCGGACAGAGTGAGGTGCTGAATTACCATTTTTCTGCCTGTGTCATGTCTGTCTTTCAATTCTTTTTTCTTGTCACTGTCATTGTCCGTTTGATTGTTTTGTCACAGCACCTCTGGCACACTCAGCACCCTTCTGTGAGATATCCCACTTATGGCTGATTCAGTCAAGCTTTTTTACATGTCATTTCCTTGGTAGACTTTCTCAGGAGGATCAGCTGTGCTGCTGGTACATGGTAAAGGACAGGTTTATTACTGTGTGTCTAACATGTTACCTTGTCCTGAGTCCACTATTTTGTTTGTTTTAATGTTGGTCATGTTTTGATTCAGTAATAAATGGCAGTTCAATTTAAAAACATTTAAAAGTCAATAGATACATTTGAAATGATGAACCTGTAAATAGATTTCAATGTAAGCAGATGAAAAATACGACTTACAGATAAGGAATCCAAAATAATATGAAGTGTGTCTCCAGGCGTTTCCCAGAATCATTCGTCATATTTTATATTGCACTTACAAAAAGGAGACAAGCCAAATGTATGCTATATCAGTCTATACTGTGATACAAAAGTTAGCCCAAAGGCTGAATACTGAACTACATTTTCTAAAACAACATATTCAAAGTCTGCTTTGTTCTCATCAAAGAATTAACTTAAGATTTACCTTCAATTTATTGCCCAAAACAGCAAAAATCTTGTTTTGATTCAATGATCGATGGCCTCATTTATGAACATGTTACTGGTTACCAACCTGTTTTTGTTGCATGTCTTGTGATTTTTTGTCTTGTCACCATGCCATGAAAATATACATGGCTATGAGTTGGCTTTACATTGTGTTACATTTTGTATTTAGAGTGCACGTGTTTCGTTTTTTTTGAAAGTGTACATACTGTAGATGTCCATGCACATACTTTTACACAATCGGAAAGTGTGTATTTCTAGGTATGAACTCGGCCTGGTTGTTGAAATGGTAGCAATACATACAGAGATAGACACTTCGTCATTAGCAACAAAAACACGAAGTTCCGATGTATGAACAAACCCCAAGGGTGCTTCCTCCCTGGCTCATAAACTCTCTGTTATATCCTCTGATAGTGACTCTGGCCCCAGTCGCTGTAAGTGTTGGAATGTTTCTGCTCAGCCGCCTTGACCTCTTGTCACCTCCATCCACACCCACAGCCGCCCTCGGTGGAGGCTGCTACTGGTAATGACCAGTAGTTGTCTTTGCAAGATACACTTTGTTCTAAAAACATGCCCAACCCTGTGTCACCCTGGGCTGAGGGGTGACGGACATGACGTTGGGTGTGCATGGAGGAATCACTATCCGGTGGTAGCCAGTCCAGACCAACTATTTTAAACTTTTTTTTTTACCTAATCCTTTATCCTTATTAATTTTTTATTCTCATGTGTAGCCTAGATTTATTCATTTGTGTTTTTCATTGTTGTTCTGACATGAAAATTATTATCTGTGTACATGGATAAACAGGCTAAAGTGGTTAACTTCAAAGTACTGAAGTTTAAATTAAAATAAATATTTTTTTTTCTCTGGGTCTTTATTAAAAATAGGTCAGTAAAACTGACCAACATCATTATTGACTGAAAAAAAACATTTTACTATGACAAGCTTTTCAGCTACACTATATTGCCAAAAGTATGGTAGGCCACGTAAACTGACAGAGCGGGGTCGGTGGATGCTGAGAGACATAGGGAGCAGAGGTCACCAACTTTCTGCAGAGTCAATCGCTATAGACCTCCAAACTTCATGTGGCCTTCAGATTAGGTCAAGAACAGTGCATGGTCTAGCAGCTGCATCCAAGCCATTAATCATCAAATGCAATGCAAAGCGTCAGATGCAGTGGTGTAAACCACGCCACCACTGGACTCTAGAGTGGTGGAGACACGTTCTCTGGAGTGACAAATCACGCGTCTTCATCTGGCAATCTGATGGACGAGTCTGGGTTTGGCGGCTGACAGGAGAACGGTACTTGTCTGACTGCATTGCGCCAAGTGTGAAGTTTGGTGGAGGGGGGATTATGGTGTGGGGTTGTTTTTCAGGAGCTGGGCTTGGCCCCTTAGTTCCAGTGAAAGGAACTCTGAATGCTTCAGCATACCAAGACATTTTGGACAATTCCATGCTCCCAACTTTGTGGGAACAGTTTGGAGATAGTCTCATCCTCTTCCAGCATGACTGTGCACCAGTGCACAAAGCAAGGTCCATAAAGACATGGATGAGAGAGTTTGGTGGGGAAGAACTTGACTGTCCTGCACAGAGTCCTGATCTCAACCCGATAGAACACCTTTGGGATGAATTAGAGCGGAGACTGAGAGCCAGACCTTCTCGTCCAACATCAGTGTGTGACCTCACAAATGCGCTTCAGGAAGAATGGTCAAAAATTCCCATAAACACACTCCTAAACCTTGTGGACAGCCTTCCCAGAAGAGTTGAAGCTGTTACAGCTGCAAAGGGTGGACGGACTTCATATTGAACTCTATGGATTAAGACTGCGATGTCTCTTAAGTTCATATGTGAGTCAAGGCAGGTGAGCGAATACTTTTGGCAATATAGTGTATATTGCCCAACCCTAAAATGAACTCCATCACTTGTATGTTTTCATATGAGCTGCTTAAGCAATTGACTCACTGGAATTTGGTCCAGACATCTTGGTCTCCAGCTCCTGGATCTGCTTAACCAGCAGGGAGATGTGCTGCAGCAGGTCTTTGTTTTGCAGCAGCAGCTGATGGACTCGAGCCTGCGCCTCCAGTCGAGCCGTGGCCTCGGCACTCAGCTGGTCCTTTAGGAGATGGACCTGCACCAGAGGACATGATGGGTCAAGAGACAGATGGACAGACAGAGGAGAAGAAAACAGAGAGAGCGAGAAACAGAGGTTTAGCAGTGACTCAGGCAAACCCCTAACAGGTATATCTAACCATTTTTCCCAGGTCACTGCTCTACTACTCTTAGCTAAACTCCCCAAACACACAAATACACCAATATCATTCCATGGAAGGCCAAATCAGACTGTGTCGACCCTATAAACACAATTTGCTCAAAAGGAAAATTAGGCTGAGCTATTTGTAGGTGTTTGCTTGAAATATTTTAGTAAAAAAATGGATTAGTAGAGAGAACTCAAACCCCAACCTTGTAAGCCATCTGAGTTTTTTCATCTCATCGTGTTTTTTTTTTTTTTTTTTTTAAAACAAAAAGAAGTTAATTAACATGCTCTGGATGTCTCTGTATAATATGCATTCATCCCGAAGTTAATGAGATGACAACTCAAGGCTGTTGGTTGCCATAGTAACACAACAAGCTTGTCCAGCTCAGGAGTTTTTCAGGCGCTTAGCAGTCAGAAAAATAATGACTGTCAGAGCAAAAAAAAAAGGGAAACAGAGCCAAAGAAATGCTGATGCATCTTTGCCCCCAACAACATCTGTGGGGATTGAGTCTGACCTCCTCAGCAAAATTAAAATCAGACTAACACAATTGGAGCAATGCTTTAAAGGACAAGCTGGCTGCTTGTGGAATACTCATGTCCATTAATGTCTGACAGCGTCTAACAGTGCAGTCACTGCAGTAGTAAAGGCAAACACACATAGCATTCCCTATACAGGGCTCCAGAATTACTGTTTACACTGGTGGCACTGGTGCAAACCTTTTCATTCAGGTGCAAAAGCACATCACTTAGCTGCATCCAGAATTTTCCACAGCACCTTTTGACACCACAGCAGCAAGCATAACCTGTGGGCTTCTGCATTATGTTGTTACAAAGAGGATGATGTGACACACTATCATCTCCTGAATAACAAATGATAAAGAAGAAACACCTCATAATAATAAGCTGCCTGCTCCAGCTCCTCTCCCACAGGAGGATAGTAGAAGGGCTGAGGATGTGAATGGGCATTAAGTGTGGAGGTAGCAGCAGGGACGAGTGGTGGATTTATTACCCACTGATCACCAGTGTATTCATCATTACTGGGGCCTATTGGCCTACCCCTCCTCAGTGAAACAATCTGCTGATCCCTCCACAAACCAAAAGTGACCTGAGCACATAATTTTGCTCAGATGACGTATCAGCATCAACAGTGTACAACCGGCATATCAAATAGGATGTGATAATGCTGACAGCAGGAAGCAAGTCAGGAAATAAAAGTAACAGTAGAATGCTTAACACCAGTAAAGTGCCTAAAGGACATTAAAGTATCCAAAAAGACACACTTTTTAATTCACAGTTGTTTCTGAGAGTGCAAAAATTACTTGGCTTGGATTCATCATGAACAAATGTCACTTACGTATGCAGTACTCAGCTTTCAAACTAAATATCACAAATCTAAACTGGAACACCAAACTGCAGTGACTCATCAGTCTTACGTGCCAGCCACAAACTACAGAAACACCTGTGAGGCAAAGGCCAGGGCACAGTAGCGCAGTTTAACAGGTCAGAAAGCAGGAGCTCACAGCGCCCAGAGCAGCAGAGAGGAGCAGAGGAATCAGTTGGAGCAACTCGCAGAGCCGACAAACACAGACCTGTCATGTAACGCATCATGCAAGCATTAAAAAAGAAAAAAAAAAAAAAGAATCTTCGTACATACACACACAGAGACAGTCAGGCAAACTGCCAATGAAAATGTTTACTCACACTCAAAAGGTTTTAAGTCACATACACACTCTGGAGCTCTGCCTATGTGTGATTGGCTATCTGGTATACAAGATAAACGGACACTAAACGCCTCGTCAGTGGAATCTGTCCTGCAGGTTTTGTTATTGTTTTTCTGCATCAGAAAGCTCTTTATTTTTTGTTTAGCAGCATGCGGTTAAATATCAGCTATTTCTTATTTAAAGAATATGAAAGACATTTATGTACATTTAACATATTAGTACATTCTCCAGAGCACTTGTGGCCCTGTAGTCAGATTGACAGAGGATGTACCTATATTATCATCAGTCTTTCTGAAAAGATGAAATTTTTTTCTTGAAGTTTTCTTTCCAAACTGTGAGACTAAACTTGAGTAATTTAGAGACCCATTCTGGTAAAAATCAAGTTTGAAACCTTGTTAACATGTCCATATGGTATGCTAGAAGACATATCATGCCTAAAAAAATGTAGCCAACACCATGGCTGAGAACTCGCCAGACCAGCTTCTTTGTCTGCAATTGTCTAATTATAGTGCTTTTTTTTTTTTTTTTTCCGTTTCCTTGACATTGCTGTCACCTGTACTTTGAGCACTGTTTGGTAAAATCAGGGGAAGTGTTTTAGAACATTAAAAAAAGGTCTATGGCTTAATGTTGCCTCTGAGAACTGCAATCTATTACACATTTGAAAAACATCTGGATGGACTTTGGCAGTAAATGAATCATGCGCGTTCAGGGTAAATGACCAAAAGTGCCTTTTTAAAACATTAAAATTGAGATAATCAGTAAATGTAGATGTTGTTCAGGTCATCCAGTAAACACACTGATCACAGGATGAGCGGCTCGGGGATCTGGCTGACTCGGCTCAGCAGGTGGCAGCGACTGATCACTCAAACCGTATTTTCACAGCATGGTAATTAGTCAAAGCAGTGTCGAGGAAAAAACAGCAAACCCTCAGAGTGTTTTTCCAGTCAGAGGTGAACAGATAAATCAGTGATATTCCAGTTACCTCTCAAACAGAGGAGCACAAGCAGCTTGCTGGTTTTACGCAAAGCTGATGTTAGTTTGATACTCTGGACACACACTGTATGTACTGCATAGTAAAGTAGGTTAATGAAAGACACTGACCAGTTCACTAAATAAATAAATAAATCAATGCACGTGTTTGGTGAATCAGTAAATTATTTATCTGACAATTCTAGTCACACTTTCAATCACAACTGTTAACATTCACTCATTTAGGATTTCTTGTATCTTTAACTTAATGCTTCTTTGTGAATAGTGTATTTGCAAGTGAGTGTGTGTATTTTGTATGTTGTAATATGTTTGTTTTGTATGAAGCAAGTTCTTCAGTCCAAAACTATTTTCACTTTCAGTAGACAATTTCACCTTTGTATTTGAGTCACATTTCCTGGTGCCAGCCTCCTGGAAAGGACTATTCTCTGATTCTCTGTTGTACATCATTTTAAAATTCAATATTTTGGGATTTTAATTATTTGCAAAATCAATTTGCAATTTAAATATGTCACCTTGTGATCTTGGAAATTGTTGTGGGTGTTATTCACAAATTTTGGACATTTTAAAACAAACTGATTAGTTCATTAACTCTGCGAGCCTCAGGCTATTCTCTGGATAATTTTAATACTTTTAGTTTTAAGCTCTTATCTTGGGCATTTTAAGGAGAAGACTTATTTTCACCAGATTTCTTTTGCATTCGCCTTTATATCGAGGACAAATATGTATCATAAATTTATATTTTGCTGCCCGTATCTCACCATAAAATGCTGGCACTTGAGACATCTTTTTATAATTGTATAGAGGAGATATCAAGCGTGAAAGAAAGAAATTAGTGAAGCTATTAATGTGAAGTTTAAACGGTCTTCATATGTTATTACTTTGGAATGCACAAATATGTAACGAGCATAATTACAAAGGTCTGGTTCTGCTCTTTCTTGTGATATATTAACATATCATTGACATATTGATATTAACATATCTAGTTATTACCATATGTATGCAAGGAGGAGGTCATGAGTAATTCAGACCAGAGTAATGGTGTGGAGATGGATGCAGAGCTGCATGTAGGTCGTAACTACGATTAAATGTGATGTAAAGTTAGAATGCTTTTTTTTCACCAAGACTTCTTCACACAGACAACCAACTCACATTGTCGGAAAGGTCCAGAGCTGTGCAGTTTTATTTGATATGTGCTACTTCTGACTGCAATAAATACATACAGAGCAATTCAAACAAGAAGAAGGGATGTGAATTTGGATGCTAGCAGCATCCGTAGGGCTCAGAGGGTGAATCAAAAATGAATCAGCGGACTAACTAACCTAAAATAATGATTGTTTTTGACAAATTTTGATTTAACTTTCTGATATTTGATCTCTTAACATTATTTACACAAAAACGCAAACACACTCTCTCCCTAGACGTGAGTGACAGATCTTTGAACTGTAATTACTGTGGCTTTATAATCTTTTATTACAGGACCAGCAGTGCTCCTCTGGCAGCTCTGATCCTCATGTAACCTTAATGCCACAGTCTGCTGTGGTCTGCAAGATTAAAGCACAGACTCTATTACAATTTGGGACTAAAAGGCTAAACTTCTTTTACACTTTGAATCCTGTATATAAAAGGGGAGGAAGGGGGAAAAAAAAGACACTGTTCAGTCGCTGCCAACCGTGCACACACACACAGACACACACACACGCTCTCACAGCTTTTGTAGCAGCAATGCCTCCTCCTTTTTACTTCAAAGCACTCTCCAAATCAAATGTTAGTGGCCCCACCTCCCACCATATTCAGCCATCTCTACCCTGAACACATAATTGCTTTCAACAATTTCCAAGGAGAAATTCTCAAGGTTTCAAATCACAAGACTGGTTCAGAAGAAGCAGAGTTTGTTAAAGGAGAATAGTTTTTAATGATTTTCTGACACCAAAAGAGGTGCTGTCTCAATAATTTGATTAAACTTAACCTTGGAGTTTGAACGCGACCCAACAGAGCTCCAAATGTCAGATGTCTAATAGGCAAAGTGCAAAACACACCAGACCAAATGATGCTGCATACAAGCTGGAGAACATTTGAAAATTACAGTGATAGTCCAGAAGTGCTCTTTAGTGTTGGCATTACGCCGTTCCTCGCGTTTTCTAATAGCTTCTCCCGTTTGTATTG